GGGACAACTTATATTCTTCTTGCATTTCTTACCAGCTATGGGTGGTGTTCCTGGACCATTCAGTTGCTACTTAGCATTACGTGGTGTAAAGACGTTACATTTACGCATGCGTGAACACGAGAAGAATGCTTTCGAAGTGGCAAAGTTTTTGAATTCCTCACCACATGTTGAGAGAGTGATTTATCCAGGTATACGTAGTTTAACGTCGCAACTTTAACTTTAGAAAGATTTAGATTATTTGAATACGAGAGTGACTGTAAGATTCGTCATTTGCGCTATATTTTACTGCCACTGGGCCTGACCTGGGGCCCTCATCCGCTAATCCGGAACTGCATTTCCTGCAATCTGCAACTTGCAGTTAAGACTTACCGTGTTTTCGCTATTGATATCTGCACAACCCGCGAGATAGCTACCATATAAATTAATATACATTGTACAAATAATGAATGTTTATTAGTGCAATGGTAAAAATATTTTCATGGGGTGAAAGATGGAATTTTTCATTCCACCAGGCGACACCGAAGTGGGATGGAAAATTCCATCTTTCGCCGAAATAATTTTTTTACTATTGCACGAATGAAAACATTCATTATTTGTTTTATATGACACCGAAATAGATAAATCTTATCGAATTTTTCATTGAATTAAATACTAAACAATTAATGCCTCTCTGTACCTCAGTTACATTGTTCAAATGTAATAAAAATCCAACAAAAAACGCGCGGTCCCTTGCACGCTCAGCAAAATGGTAATTTTTCTTCATGTCACGTAATCATATAAATGACCAGAATTTAATGAGTTTTTATATAATGGTTACTGTTAAACGTAAAGATAAATTAAAAATGAATTACATCATAGTTGGGAATATTGAGAAGAGGCTCGTGTTTTATTTAGGTTTCGAATCACATCCTCAACACGAACTAGCGAAGAAACAAATGTCAGGTTTTGGTGGGATGATCACTTTCTTTATAAATGGTAATCTTGAAACTGCCAAGAAATTCTTCAGAAATACCAAGGTACGATTTTGAAGTTATTCACCCTTTCGACGTTCTTATATTTATCGTATAAGTATACAATGTATATCGTTATATTTTTATCACTGTAGTTCGGTGAGGTAGAAAGAGTTGGTTATATTCTTATATAATCTATTAACCCAAATAATCTATTTGCGATGTAAAAATAAAACTATCTGCGATGAAAAAATAAAACTCTGAATATAAAATCAAATGTTTTATACAATTTATATAGCTTTTCACACTCGCCGAAAGCTTGGGCGGCTATGAAAGTCTAGCAGAACATCCGTAAGTTTTTTAGCCTGTCTAATTATAGTAATGCATAATACTCTTTATAGCATTCTCGCTCCCAGAGTATGCCCATTCGCAGGTTAGGCATTGAGCACACTTACATGTATATTTGTATTGTTTAATTTAATTAAAAATTAATATAACGTTTCTGAGCTTGATGACTTCCTGAAAATACACCTGATCAGAGTGAGGACTGATGAAGATCAAAGACGGTGATGTGTTAACTATATCAAATCAACAACTTTTTTGTGTAGAAAAGCTTAAGACGAGGTGGAGTTGTACAGCCCGACTGCAAATGTAATGCCAAAGGACAGAACTGACATTGCGTGCACTTCGAAACGTGATTCAACTTACTGTATTTCAGTCGCGCTGTAAACACCAACATTAAAGAAAATGTTACGCTAAATTTGCTTTAGACCCATTATGGGAACTTGACTTACCAGCTTATTTGTCGACTCGCCTTGGCACTGGTATTAAACAAACATTACCCTCCATTTGGATCAACCAAGAGCAAACTCGCTCAATACACAACAGCAGGGGCGTAGGAACCGGGGGGGGGGGGGGGGGGAAAGGGGGCCTAGGTCCCGACGTTTTCAGAAGACACAAAAAGAAAATAACCTGCAATTCTTGAGAGAAGTGCCCTTCAAAAAATAAATCTCCATGAAACAAATAAATTTAACTTTTGTCGATGTTTTTTTAAAAAGGAATCTGGTCAAAAACGTTGATTGTACGAAACGTTGATTGCAATTCGAAATTTGGGCAAATGTATGGAATATGATATGATTGTAAGATTGTTTTCCTTTCCTCCGTTCGCCAACATTTCTGGGAAAATTTTTTAGGTGCCCGTTTCATTATCCAAACGTGGCCCTCGAAGCCGGTGCCCTCCCCCCCCTCAACCTTTTGATGCTTCCTACGCCCCTGGATAGCTGAATTACCCCAACAATATTTGACTTAATGTGTGAATTTTACAGAGCATTAATGACTCATGCTTCAGTACCTCCCGATCAACGAGTTGTGCTTGGTATCTCAGATACTTTGGTGAGTTATGACTATTTGTTAGACATGTACAGCATATATACATGTTAACCTGCATGTGCCGTTGCTGGTTTCACCGCCAGTGGCGGACACTACACTGTGAAAACAGATTGGTTAATACAACCAATAAATTGGACAGATTATCTCAGATTCAAAATGAATCTGAGATAACCAATTCCTTGGTTGTTTTAACCAAATTGTTTTAACCAATTTTTTTAACCAATAATTTCCAAAAATCTTTGATTGATAGATGAATAACAATGTAGCACGGCTATGACAATTAGACTATAGATTGAGCTATATACTGCATGAAATTGGAGGCAAAAAAGTTTAAAGGATTAGTGTCAGGGTCATGCATTGCGGGCTTTTGTTATTGTTTACATTTTACTCAAATACAACAAATAGCGATAAAAATGCCTTGTTTAGTGCATTTCTGATAAAAAACCACACAAAAAGAGCAAGGATTACAAAAGGATGGTTTAAATATATGACGGATTGTAAAAACTTTCCAGATCAACTAATCTATTCGTCCCGAAAAATGGCCGCCAGCAGGACTCTTGATCTCCGCGAATTCCTGGTGTGACACTAATCCTTTAAAGAACTAAGATTTCCAGCAGCAAAAGGTGGTCATATGGTAGCAATTTAAATCCACCATTCCCCCCTTCCCCCAAATATTTCGCGACGTGTCCGCCACTGTTCACGACTACAGAGAATATAGTACAAGCTGAAACAAAATTACAGCAACTTGCAACAACTATCCCGAACTACCTATCAATGGAAAAAGAAAGTATTCAGAAGCGTGCACTACGGATTATTCACCCAGACTCGAGTTACATCGAAGCATTAAAACAGGCAAAGTTGGAAACATACGATTGAAGAGAAAAGTTGTGTGTAAAACTATTTTCATCAATCGAAGCAAATAATGATCACAAGTTAAAGGAACTATTGCCACCGAAAAATTCACCACCAAACAATCTCAGAACAAACAGAAATATAGTCTTCCCAAGATGCACACGAATATATTTAGTAATTCGTTTATTCCATATTGCGCACGTAATGCAACGTTGTAGGTAATTTTAGATCAATTATAATATTTTAAATAGTTATGAACATTACATTTAGATTCATTTAGACTTTATTAGAGACAACAACTATTATATATATATATATATATATATATATATATATATATATATATATATATATATATATATATATATATATATATATATATATATATATATTAAATAATAATTTTTACAAAATTATACAGTGTTCTCCGGATTGTAATTATTTGTTTTGAGCTTTCGACTCGGTACTTCGAGTCTTAGTCATCAGAAAGTTTGATCATTTGAATTTTCGCGCTGTTGTTGACGCGAAGTAATAACACGACTAATAACTGAAAAATTACTTACTAACAATACTTCGTGGCAAACAAAGACAGAACTTAATATACAAGACATTCTTGATTTACTTGACCTATGCCTTTCAACTGAATTCCGCTTCCAGAACAATTACTACCCACAAATCTCTGGCACTCCTATGGGGTCGCCACTATCCAGTTTCCTTGCTGAGGCAGTGATGCAAGATCTTGAAAGTAAAGCTGTTACAAACAATGGCGACATTAAAACATGGGACGGTATGTAGACGATGTACTTGCTACTGTCAAAAAGGACAAAACAGACGACATCCTACTAACAATTAACAACACCACTAAGAACATCAAATTTACCAAAGAGGAAGAACATGACGGCAACAAACTCGCTTTTTTGGACGTCCTAATAACAAAAACAGACAACGGCACTTTAACCACACAAGTTTATCGCAAGAAAACACACACATATCAAATTTTAAATTACAATAGCAATCACCCAACACAACACAAAGTCTGTTGCATAAAGACACTATTCAACAGAATTGACACACATTGTAACATTGATCAATCCAAACAAGACGAACGCAAGTATTTATACTCTACTTTCTACAAAAATTAGATTTCATTAATAAGGTGCTCCAACATAAACAACAAACTAACACGGACCGACTTAACCAAACAAAAACGAGGATTACATTTCCTTACATACACACTACATCAGAAGTGGCAGCTAGACTCCTCCGACCTTTCAACATTGACGTTGCACACAAACCAACATGCAAACTTAGGTTCAACCTCACTAAACACAAAGACAAGACACATATAACGAAAAAACATAACGCCATTTATATCTTCCCGTGCAAAAACTGTCCTGATAAGTACATTGGACAAACATCTAAAAAGATTCAGACAAGACTAACAGAACACCAGAACGCAATCAACAGACCCGACCATAGCTCACTTCCAGAAAACACACAGACGACAACGGGCATAAATTCGACTGGTCTCAAACGAGATGCCTAGGACAAGCAACTACTAAACATGCCCGTGTGTTTAAAGAAGCGTGGCATAGATTAGACAAACTAACATTTAACCGTCACATTGACATCCCTACAATTTACTTACAACTGGAACGCTCACATAAATCTCCTAATTCATCTTCATTAACCTTTAACCCACCCTCAACTTCCTTCCCCACACCGTCTCATGATAACAATAATCACCCGCATTCCATAGTAACCAATGGCAACCAACATACTGAAATCCATCAACCAATCAGACGTTCCCACAGACTTCAACAGCGTCAACAACAGCGCGAAAATTCAAATGATCAAACTTTCTGATGAAGACTCGAAGTACCGAGTCGAAAGCTCAAAACAAATAATTACAATCCGGAGAACACTGTATAATTTTGTAAAAATTATAAGTTAATAAAATGCCTGGATTACAAATCTTCAAATCTATTATATATATATATGTATATATATATATATATATATATATATATATATATATATATATATATATATATATATATATATATATATATATATATATATATATATATATATATATATATATATATATATATATATATATATATAACAACAACAAGCCGCACCGTCCCACAATATATTGACTTCAACTGTGGGCATCTGACACAAGAACAAGGGCAGAATATATACACGCACACGTACACACTGTTTAAAACACAACTCTGACACATGTACACACAAAACAATACAAATTTATAACAATCGTATATATAAATGCCACAAATTCATGAAAAAGTTCTGTGTAGAAAAAACCCAAGGGCAATGTTGAAATCTCTGTGGGCATCTGAAAACAGCCAAGTTGCTCTAGCCCATAAAACATGAAATTACTTCAAGAACATAAAACGGTAACAACGGGAATATTGCTAATACAACCTAATAAACCCGAATAGCAATAGCATGCACAATGTGCTATTGTTAGCATATTCATGATAACATATGTGGAAACATAGTCATGGTAACATCGTACAACTCTGACCCGTAATGATAAAATAGCACAAATACCCACTATATCATATAAATATAGTGAAAAACATGCACAGACATGCATACACCCCAGATATAATCTGCCTCGTAAAGAGCGCGGAGCGGAATTTTTCTTTGTTTTGTGATTTCTCGGGTGGAACTAATTAGAAAAGACAAAGAAAGATTCCGCCCCGCTCGCAAAATTCCGCCTAGTGGAAAACCGGCTTTAGGAATGGTGAAGGAAAATTAACATCTGTAAAACATATGCAATCGCGAAGCGTGGACAGAATGTGTCAGCAGTATAATTAATCGATAATTTACGCTGTAGGATTTTAATATCCTGTTAACGTCATTATCAAGTGGGGTTATCTCGCTTTGCAAAGCCACGGACATTCTCGTACCCAGAGCCCTTCTTACGCGCGGTCAACCGAGCGCGACGAGGGGCTCTGGCCAAATCCATAACCGGATACCATAAAAACATGGTATCCGGTTTAACACTGCGCATGCTCAAAGTCAAACGCGTATAAACACTTCGGTTTTCTTGTTTGTTTCGTTTTGAAAGTTTTACTCCAGGAAAACCCCACAAAAGCGGTAGGTTTCGCTAATTTTATTTATTTAAATCAATTAGTAGGTAAGACGTGATGTTCTCAATGTATGTTGATAAAATTTAGTATATATTTCCCTCTTAAACGTTGTCAAAGCAGTTTTGGATACGGATACGAAGACGAGAGATTGTCTCACTATTTTATATTCGATTTTAAGTCGCTGTTGTACAGATTTTTAGACTTTTTTGTGTTTTATTAAAAGTCAACAGTCATACATAAGACATAATATACTGCAAATCCTTTGAAAATTGTAAAAAATCGGTTTCTAGGAAGAAAATAGTCATCACAATTAACTTCATATTCTGGCTGGCTTTAATATTTTCTCTTCAGATGGCACTTCAGCTTTGAACATGTTACACAGATTTGTTTGATTAACATCACTGATTTGGAAATAGGACGAGCATCTGCCATAAATATGCTGACTTTTTGCTATGAGAACATCACGTCTCAACCTATTAATTTCAATCAACTAATTGATTTAAATAAATAAAATTAGCGACATCTACCGCTTTTGTGGGCGATTATCAACAACAATCTTCCTAATAGTATAGTATAGTATAGTAAAACTTTATTTAACCACGCTTCCCTCATCACCCATGGATGATTTTCATGAGGGGCGTCACACAAATTACATTCTAAAAACTAATATAAATTAAATATGAAATAGAATAACTCAGAATAACAAATACGTAGATAAAAAGTTAAAAAACCAAGACTATTCGATGCCTGACTCTGTAGCACACATTATTTTATCAAATTTTTGAAGCTACTTAAAGATTCTGTTTGCTTTGCCTGCGTAGGTAAACTATTCCATAGAACAGCCCCGCTATATCCAAAACTCTTTTTTAAATATTCAGTACGTGGTTTAGGAACTGAAAGATTTATATCAGCATTTCTGAGATTATAATTAGCACTAAGATTTATGTCCCTTGTTATAAATTTATCCTTTAAGTTCGGAGCTGAGTGGTTGTTTAATATTTTGAACATCAAGACCGATTTATTCATTTTATGTCTGTCGTGCAGATTTTTCCATGACATAGCATGGAGCAAATCTGTCGACCTGACATCATAATTGGCACCTGTCATAATTCTTGCCGCCCTATTTTGTAGTTTTTGTAATTTCTCTTTGAGCATGCTTCCACAATTATCCCATAAAGATGAACAATAGTCAAAATATGGGAGAACGAGAGAATTATATAAATTTTGTAGTGTTTCGGACGGTACAAACGGCTTTACTCTTTTGATGATTCCAATACCGGAGCCAACTTTCCTACATATTGTGTATATATGATTTTCCCAGCTCATTCTTTCATCTAGTTCTACTCCCAGACATGGAAAAGAGGAATATCGAGTAACCGGTTTATCATTTATCATAACCTGTTCATTACCAACTTTGTTTTTTAAGTTATAAGGTGATCCTATAAACATTGCTTTTGTCTTTTTTGTGTGAAGTTGCAATTTATTTCGAGAGAGCCATTTGACTATATTTTCTAAATCCTGATTAAGTTTGGTTACTAGTGCGGAGAAACTTGCGGAAGATGCATATATTTGAGTATCGTCAGCATACATGCCAGGAGTTGTGTTTTTCAGACATTCTGGCAAATCATTTATATATAGTAAAAACATGAGGGGTCCCAAGATAGATCCCTGCGGAACTCCGCATACAATTTCCTTAGCCAACGATGTGTGGATTGGAACCATTTTAGCTCAAAATCTTGAACACCAAACTGGTCGTGCATCTTCCTTAATAGGATTTTATGATCAATAGAGTCAAAGGCTTTCCTAATATCAACTGAAATTAATCCGATTATTTCTCCATTATCCATATTTTCAAACCAATTGTCACTCATTTCTATTAATAAGGACAGTGTCGAATGTTTGGGCCGGAAGCCCGATTGAAAACGTGAAAGTAGAGAATTGTCTATCAGATATTGATAGAGCTGTCCAAATACTTCTTTCTCAAATAATTTGCTGATAATGGGAAGAATAGATATCGGGCGATAGTTTTCACATTTCGTTCTATCTTCTGTTTTATAAACAGGTATTACCCTGGCTCTTTTCCAATCATCAACATATATCCCAGTAGAAATTGAGATATCGGGCGATAGTTTTCACATTTCGTTCTATCTTCTGTTTTATAAACAGGTATTACCCTGGCTCTTTTCCAATCATCAACATATATTCCAGTAGAAATTGAGAGATTAAATATATAGGTCAAGGATGGGGCAATAATATCGCAAGATTATTTCAGCATTTTGGCTGGTATTCCATCAGCCCCGGTAGCCTTGGATACTTTTAGATTTTTCAGGTTTTTTAGAATATTGGATTCAGTAATTGTATGGAAATAGAATTTTGAATTTACACCAGTTGAATTACAATGCATGTCTTCATAATCCGAAAGACGTTCACATTCAGCAGCGAGTGTTGGGCCAATATTAACAAAATAGTCGTTTAAGTGTTCAGCTATTTGTTTGCGATCATTATATATTATATCATTAATATTAATTTCTGCAATGTTAGATGATTTCCCTCCTTTGCCCAATAGGGTGTTTATCAGTGACCATGTTTTTTTCATGTCTTTAGCTAGGGAAAATTCCTTAATTCTTGTTTGATAATAGACAGTTTTGGCCCTTTTCATTTCCGAGTTAACTTTATTTCTCTCCGATTTATATTTATCCCAGTGAACCTGCATGGAATTATATCTCTTTGCTCTCTTTTTATGATAGTCTCTGGATCTTATTAGTTTTTTTATTTTAATGTTGGAATTTATCCAGGGAACAGAATTTAATGCTTTTATAAATTAAGGGTGCATGTCTGTCAAGAGCTTCCAAATAAAAAGATTTCCAGACATGCCAATTGTCGTTCGGGTTCATATACTGTGTAGCTAAATACCAAGGTATTCTGGACAGTTCCTCAATAAAATCAGTTTCATTAAATCTTTTGAAATTTCTAACGTTGGAACGGGTTTGCCTATATTTAGGCATGGTCACTTTTTTCACTGCAAAAATTAAACTGTGATCTGACATTCCCAAGTCAATAACACCACTATTGGAAATGTTATTGGGTTGATTGGTGAACACTAGATCAATTAAAGATGATGATGTGCTTGTGACTCTAGTTGGCTCCTTCGTACTGCTGTTCTTTCAACTTTAATAATGTCTTTTCTCCCAATTTTCTCCAAAACGAAACCAACGCTTCATGGAGCGCTTGATTTTTATTCATATTTTATACAATAAACCATATATTTCGTTGTGGCCAATCAGAAGCCAGTTTGATATGGATTTGGCCAGAGCCCCTCGTCGCGCTCGGTTGACCGCGCGTAAGAAGGGCTCTGGGTACGAGAATGAGCCACGGAAAATTATAGTCACGCAACAACGGCCACCAATACAATACTACAATAAATCATTGAGAGAATTGAATAATTACAATATATGACAATGCCAAATCAGAGATTTTACGTCTTGATGCAACGGCTGCATTTCAAGCCGCAACAAGTGCAATTTCAAACTGGGTTCAGCAGAACTCTTCCCAATCATAAAACCCATGTCTTAAATGTAAGACTGTATTAAATTCATACGACTGATAATACACGTCGAATTATCTTTACTACCATTTATTTGAAGGAGTTTGTTTTGGCCGTCGCCGTCGTGCCGCCGCCCCAAAATCGTAAGGACCCCAGTATTGGTCTGTTACGCTTCAAGAATCACGACCACGAGTAGCTGCGTGCGCAAAACCAGGGGTGGATCCAAACTAGTGCCACTAGTTTCCGGAAACTAGTCAAATTTTTCCAAACTTGTGAATTTATGTGTTTTTCTTCAAGTAATTTCCAAATCGTTAATAAAATTTTCAGTAATTTTGACCATATTTTTTTTATATAATAATTTGGCGAAATCAGCCATTTTTGTTTATATACGGTATTTTTCACCGGAAGAGGGATCCTAGGAAACGCAAATCCGGGTTAAAATGCCTGCGCAATCCACTGATCTATACAGATCAGCGATGCAACGAAATGCGTGGAATTTAGTGCCTTTGCGTGTGTGCACCAGTTCAATTTGCGTGGAAATTTTCCACGGAAACTAGTTAAGATCACATATCATTGGCCAACTGCAGATCAAATTATTTGTGCACTAGTCAAGACGTGCTGTCATTGGCTAGAGGCTGTTAATTAAATCCACGGAAACTACTCAGGCACTAGTCAAAAGTTATAAATACGACCGAACATTCCGTGGTGCTTTGCAGTGTTTGCGTGAAATGCTAATATGGCAACTTTCGCTTTTCCTCGTGGCGAACCTTTAGTTCCAAAGGAAGATTGTTCTCCTTTTGACATAGGGTTCGTTTATTCTACAATTTCCAAGGCTTCTCCGGCAGAGAAGTTTCGCTTCATCAACAATGTTTGGAAGCCTTCCTTGAATTATATTTTTCCTGCATCGGTTGAAGCGGCAGGAAAGCTACGAAAGCGTAGACACGAGTGGTTAGTTCGATTCACATGGCTTGTGTATTCAAAGTATCTCGATGGCGTCTTCTGTCTTCCATGCTGTTGTTTTGGAATACAATATGGCAAAAACGCAGCGAGGCTACAGAAGCTTTCCGATCGCCGCTTACTTTCTGGACAACGGCTGTAACGCGACTCCAAAATCACTCATCCGGCAAGTGTGAAACACATAGCTTCTCTGTGGTGGCCATGGCAAACTTCATGGATGTGATGACGAGACGCACTGTGGCGATTGACGAGCAGTTAAACCAGATTACCTTTCGGCAGATCCAACAGAATCGTGAAAAGATGAGGTCTATTATTAAGACCGTAGTGTTTTGTGGTCAGAATGCAGTGGCTTTACGTGGTGCAAGAGATGACAATCCTGACGACGAAACTCTTCAGGGCAATTTCCAAGCTTTGTTGGCTTTTCGTGTTGATAGTGGAGACAAGACGCTGCAAGAACACTTTGAGAATGCCCCTCGAAATGCTACCTACCGTTCAAAAACAATCCAGAACGAGATTATTAACACTGTTGGCAGTTACATTACTTCAAAAATATCTGCAGAAATTAAAGAAAGCAAGCTGTTTTCAGTGTTGGCAGACGAGGCAGCTGATATATCCAACAAAGAGCAGCTTTCCTTAGTCCTACGATTTGTCGATTCAAGTCAGCAGATTCGAGAGGAGTTTGTTGGTTTCTACCATTGTGAAGATGGAACCAGTGGAGTGGCATTGAAGGAGATGATTTTGAAGGCTGTAGCTGACCTTGGTTTACCAATGGCTAACTGCAGAGGTTAATCCTATGATGGTGCTGGCAATATGGCAGGAAAGTACAATGGTGTTTCGTCACTTATCCAAGGTCAGTTTAGCAAAGCTTTGTATGTTCATTGCATGAACCACCGCCTCAATCTCTGTGTTGCCGATACTTGCTCTGAATATTTAGTTAAAGACATGATGTCTGTTCTAAGGAGTCTTTCCTCTTTCTTCTCTGGCTCTCCTAAACGGCAACAGCATTTTAAAGAGAAGGTTAAGTCTTTATTGCCTGCTTCCAAGCATGAAGTTTTAATTAATGTTTGTGAGACCAGGTGGATTGCTCGCTTTGATGGCTTGGATAGAATTGTTGAGCTCCTTCTCCCAGTTGTATGTACGATAGAAGATATTGCACACAATAGGAAAGGGGGGGACGAAGAATCTGATTCTGGTGATTGGAATCAAAATAGCAAAGCAGCTGCTAAAAAGATGCTTCCCTCTATAACTTTTCAATTTGTTGTTACTTTGGTCATAGTTAGATATATATTAGACTTAACTAGACCTGCAACTGTAAAGCTGCAAAGAAAAGAAATGGACCTTTTGAAGGCTCATTCAGAAATTTCATCTTTGAAGAAAAATCTTCAAGACTTGAGGTACAACATTGATAGAGAACGCCATAAACTCTATCAGGAGGCAGTGGAACTTGCAGCTACAATTAGGCTTGACCCCTGTAAGCCTAGAATTATTCCAGTGCAAGCACATAGAAATAATAATCCATCAGATTCTATTGAAGGGCATTATAGAGTAAATCTTTCTGTTGTTTTTCTTGATCATGCTTTAAATCAACTTGAAACTAGGTTCCCTCCTGAAGCCTATACATGTTACAGTGGGTTTTCTATAGTTCCCACTGTTATGTTGGCAAACCCATCCACATGGAAAAATTCTGTTACACTATTTTGCCAACATTATTCTAGTGACATCCCAAATGTCATTGGTTTGCCTGCCGAATTAACTTTATGGCAAAGAAGATGGGAAGATAAGGTTGAGGAAGTTGGTACAGACAAACTTCCTGACAGGGTATCCAAAACACTAATATCTGTAGACCCTGTAGCTTTTCCAAATATTTTTACTGTATTAAAGATATTGGCAACTATTCCTGTCACCTCCTGTAGCTGTGAAAGGTCAATTTCATCTCTCAGACTTCTTAAGAACTATTTAAGGAACACTACAGGCCAGGAAAGACTAAATGGTTTGACCCTAATGCATGCACATAAGGCAATTTCTCTGGATTATGAACAGATCATTGATCTGTTTGCTACCCTTCATCCAAGAAGAATGAGAATGGTGCATATTTTATGTAGTGATGACTAAATTGACTAATTATTCATGACTATATGACATGTTAATTTATGTACAAATGTGCATGATTAATTGAATATTAAATGCACATACAGTATATATTTGATTAAATGCATACAGCCATAAAGAACAATATTAAGCTAGCAACTTAATACACATGAATTTATAAAATGTTTCACATTTTGTTAGGCACATTTGTATGTGTTTTAAATATTTCCCGATAATCCCATCCTTGACTTCTAAGTTTCTTCTTTGGAAGTGGTGGTTTGCTTTGACATATACTGAAAAACTGAAATGTTACTTTGCTAACAATGGTCAACTGCATACGATTCAGATCATCCAGTGAGATGTTATATAACTTTGAAAGAACAGTGGTAGTTGTGTGCCAATTGTCATTGTCATCTTACATTACTGACGTGAAGTCACAGTGAAGATAGCACAAGAACAAATGAACAATGACATATTCATATTGATCATTGACATAAAGTATAACGAACTTAAAAAAAGAACTTAAAGGTTCTTTTTTAGAGACTGCAAATGCCTCAAAAAAAAAAGAACTTTAATTGTTAATTTGTGTTTATTCCAGGACCTGGACCCCCCTCCCTCCCCTTAGCTAACTCGCGCCTCACGGTGAGAGCTAGTGTTGTCTTGGAAACTAGTCACAAGAACGTCTAGATCCATCCCTGCGCAAAACTATCTATTACACACTGAGCGTATAGATATCTCCCAAAAATGTAGCTCCCATTTTATAAATCGGAGTGTACTGTAGTTGCCCCTGTAGACTGCGACTAAAAGTCATGAATATGTAAGTCATTGTAAGTAAAGTCCCACATGCACATACACACGTCGCAAGTAAAATGGAAATGTCCTTGGTATCCAATATATTATTAATTATTATGCATAAGTGAGAGATGTTTACCATGAGATACAGAAGATAAATCTCTTCCATCCAATTTCTTGATGTGAACTGCAGCCATCGTGGAATAGGAAAGGAAAGATGGCCCGCTTCACCGCTGAAAAATACCGAAATTTCCAATCACGTGACTATACTTAAATTAACTTGCGCGCGCAAATAACGTATTTCGCATAATTAATTTCAACTATAAATTATTCCAGGAAGCAATAAAAACTCTTATCGCTGTGGCAATAAGTTCCCTTACTGAATGTCATATCTTGACACAGAGGGAGGTAAATGATCTTTTAATATATGCGAGTTTTTATTAACGCGCGCTATGGCTTTATTTTATAAGTGCACTCTTATAAGGCGTGCTTCAATACGACGCATGCAATCGCTGTTTTAAATCAATAAATGCGCAGGTGCATATAGAAGTTTTGACATATATCCTTGTATCATCGTGCGACAGAACACCGGTTTTAAAGCGAAAAACAGAAAATATCCACAGGCCACAAGACTTGCAATGGATCCAAACACTTTTGTTAACTCGCTATTTCTGTGTCTTGTGAATGTTTTCTTCATGGTTGCAGGAGTCTTTCTGAATGCTGTAGTTATAATCAGTCTAAGGAGGTCGTCACAACTTCGAAAGAAACTATGCCACTTTATAATTCTTGTTTTATCTTGTTTCGATCTGGTTGTAGTCACCATCACTCATCCTGTCCTAATATTATCGACAATTTCCTGGTCTAACGAAGATTTTAGTGAAC